TTTCTGATCGACATTTCTATACCATAAAAGGAATGATCGACATCATCCATTTTTGGTAAAATCCCTGACTGAACTAGTGAAGTTATTGAATTATCTAAACAGGAACAAGAATTGGCTCAACGGCAATTAAAAGCTAAACAAAGATTTGCAAAAGTATTTAGTCTTGCAAAGACAACAATAAATAAAGCAATTGAATTGGACTTAGATGAAAAGTTGATTTCGATTCTTGAGAATTTTCGAGAAACAGAAATCAAACAAATGCTTACTATTAATAATACAACTTACATACAATTTGATGAATCTGAAAAGGAAAATTTTGTTGTTGTGGATGAAGAAAGTAATTCAGAATATAGGAAGAGTAATGAATCCAAAATTAATGTTAACGATATACATAAAAGACCATTTTTAGCTGCTAAAAATCCAGTTGTAAAATGTTGAAAAGGACGTCCACAAATAGTGCGTAGAATTGTTGGTAATGTTAAGAATCAACAGCTACCTGTAGTGCAGAAATCCAGAAGCATTACATGTACTTATTGTCATGAAATAGGTCATAATATTAGGCGTTGCGAAGCAAGAATTACTAATGAAAAATAATTTGCTTATTACTTTTATGTGAATGGGATGATGGGGTGTATTTTATAACAAAGTCAATAAAACTTTATTATATTACAAATTGAATCATTGTATTAGAAATCGAAAAAAAAACTCATATTTTAATTGGTTAATTTAATAATTGTATCACATTAATAATTGTATTATGTGATTTAATCAAATATCACATGGTATGCACTGAGTGCACAATACACTATTTAACAAAATTCAATAAATTATTATAAATATAAATAAGTAATTAAATAATTTTTTTAATTAGATAAATTTTTTGTTAAATTAAAATTAATAATAACTAAAAATAGGAACTATTGTGAATCAAAATATATATTACAAATAATTAAATTTAAGATTCGTAGAATGATTAATTGATAATTATATTATAAATAAAGAAATATATATAACTGATTTTTTTTTTATAGTGAATAGAAATATATTATTCAAAATAAAATAAAAAATAATAATAATAAAAAAATAAAAAATAAAAAAATATTAAATTATTTATATTATATAAAAAATTTTTATTAAATTAAATATTTTATAAGCAATTAATTTACATAAAATTTATATAGAATAAATTTATAATGATAATTAATATAAAATTACAAAATTTATATTAATAATTAAATTAACCTAAAATTAGAAATTTCTTTAATTTTTAAAATATTTAATATTATATTTATTTTTTTTAATTTATTTAATATATTATCAACATCAAAAATTCAACTTTACTATACCGATCATCAGTGACTTATAGAATGATAACATAATAAGCATATCAAATACTATATTAAATGATTAACAACAAAACTCCAAATTTCTCAGATTCTGCAAATCTAGTATTGATAAATGATATAATTATATTAAAAATTTTAAGTCATATGATCATAATGTCATATGATACTATGTCATATTATTATAAGATTATGTAAAAATCATGTGATTTATCTAATTTTAACTGTTATTATGAAGTATCAATTTAGTTGGTTATGTAATAGTACTTAAATTTTATGTAACATATTTTAAATCTAAAAATTGATATTTTAAGACTTTATATAACTTGAATTACCTTTTATAAAAATTATAATATATAATATTAGCTTAAATTAAGTCATATAACAAAGTTATAAGTCATATACATTTAATCACATGTGACTTTCATAATATAATTTCATGATCTGGTAGTAACTTCATAACCTACTATTCGTAATCTGATAGTAACTTCATAACCTATATATAGGTAGCTTTTTTGTGTTTATATCATTGTTTCAATTGTTTCCTGTATATTATGTGGTAATTTTATGGCTGAGGATATTTTATTTTAATGGTGATGTCATGATCTAATGGTGACTGCTTTCTTCTTATTCCTAATTTGTTTACATTATAAATTCTATATTGTTAGTATTAGCTTTTCATCTTTGTTTGAATACCTGGTTCCATGTTAAGGATACTGACTCTTTGTGCTTATTTAGTTTCTAGTTCTATATTGAGAATTTATACATATTTAATTGCCTTTTAAAATACTGAAATGGTGTAAAAAAGAGGCAATAAGTGGCGTAGAGAATTTGCAATTAATTTTGGCTGGCTTTATGGTATAACTCTGGTCAATCTTTTAGGCATGGTATTTTAGATCCCAACTTGGCAACATGATGGCACTATGATGGTATCATAGAACCGTCATAGAACTGTTGAGGAACTGATAGGGAACTGGTAGAATACCTGAGAGATTCCATTTATTCGCCAGTTTCAGTCTACTTATATGCCAGCTTGAATATCAAGTTATTACGCCTAAAGTTCTAGCCAAAATTATGAAATAGTATTAGCTGACATTAAGCGAATAAGTCTTACACTAAGACTATGCTGTAGCCGAACACATATCTAGAAAGATGAAGCCTTCTTCCAATATTTATTATATAGATTACAAAGAAGGCCACACTTTCAGATAAATATCTACTTGTCTTTCTTTTATGATTTGCTTACTAGTTTACTATATGTCTCTTTTTCAGAGGATGAAAAAATAAATGCGCTAATAAAAGTACCCATACCTGAGCACTTACTAGCGTTAGAATGTCTTCTGCCATTTTTTGAATATGAGGGCTTTTTCCATTTTTTATATAATATTTCTGAAGAAGATTACCCAAAATATATATATCTGATTACATACTAGTGTTAGGGTATTTTTTTTCCAATATTTTATATAATGAATATGGAGAAGAATATCCTAGATATCATATCATATTGGATACATACTAGAAAAGTGTAGCCTTCTGCTATTTTTATATAATATAATTCTGCAGAAGCCTTCATGCCACATTCGAGTACATACTAGTTAGGGTTCCGCAATTCAATTTGATATTTGAATATTTGATTTGATCAAATTCAAATCAAACAATGATTTATTTGATCAAATTCAAATCAATGTTTGATTCGATTCGATTAAATTCAAATCAAGTATTCAAATATTTGATTTGATTCGAATCAATAGTAAAGCCATCTCCAAAGCTTCAGGAGTAATTCTTACTAAGAAAACCATAGTAAAAAGCACCTCCGCGGCTTCGGAAATGCCATTTTTACTATGAAAAACATAGTAAAAAGCGCCTCCGCAGCTTCGGAAATGCCTTTTTTACTATGAAAACCATAGTAAAAAGTGCCTCTGCAGCTTCAGAAATGCCTTTTTACTATGAAAACCATAGTAAAAAGCGCCTCCGCAGCTTTGGAAATGCCTTTTTACTAAGAAAAACATAGTAAAAAACGCCTTCACAGCTTTTGGAGACGTTATTTTACTAATAAAACATAATAAAAATGCTCCCGCAGCTTCGGAGACGTTATTTTACTAAGAAAACATAGTAAAAAATGCCTCCGCAGCTTCGGAGATGATATTTTACTAAGAAACCTAGTAAAAAACGCCTCCACGGCTTCGGAAACATCTTTTTTACTAAGAAACCTAGTAAAAAAACGCATCCGCGGCTTCGGAAACGTCTTTTTTACTAAGAAACCTAGTAAAAAAACGCATCCGCGGCTTCGGAAACGTTTTTTTTACTAAGAAACCTAGTAAAAAAACGCATCCACGGCTTTGGAAACGTTTTTTTTACTAAGAAACCTAGTAAAAAAACGCATCTGCGGCTTTGGAAACGTTTTTTTTACTAAGAAACCTAGTAAAAAAACGCATCCACAGCTTCGGAAATGTTTTTTTAATAATACTAGGGAATGGTATCACCGTTGTGAATATACATGAAGTCGAAATGAAAACCCAAAAGTCGAAATGTTTCGACTTTGGAGGTCAAAGTCGAAATGAAAAGTCG